CAACACAGCTGCATTTCATTGGTCAACTTACCAGAGAAGAAAAAGATGCACAGAGAGAAAACCCCAGATAATCAGCAGACAGTCCCTTCAAGTATCCAGCTTAGTAATGATGAGTGAGCATGCACGTGAGAAAATATCCAGGAGAGGGGGAAAAAAATCACCTGAAGTGTTGGAGAAAACAGTGGATGTCTCCACCAACAAGACAGGAAAATCTCTTCATTCATGTGTAATAGCATATACAAAATTAGCTAACGTACTCAGGAAAGCCTTGCCTTAGTAGAAGAAAATAATTAGTACTACACTGAGCACTTCTCTAGATCAACCTAACAATTATAAAAGCGAGATGCAAAAGCATTGACTTGTTTCCATGTAACTTAATTGCATCTCTGAACAAAACTCAAGAAGAGTTATGGAAATGCAAAAATATCCTCACCCAACAAGTAAAATTTATAGTGCTTGGCACTCAAGAAAAGATACAGGCATATCAAGAAGCACGAAAATACATACCATAATGAGAATAATCAATTAAAACCAATCAAAAACTGACAGAGATGTTGAAATTAACAGAATAGATCATCAAAACATTTATTACAGAGCATGTATTCTACACGTTCAAAATTTAAGTAGATCATAGAAGATATTTTTTAAAAACCCAAAATTGAAATTCCGGACATAAAGACAATGTCTGAGATGAAAAAACATACAGTATTAACAGCAGATATGACATTGCCAAAAAAAAAAAAAAATAAGTATAAACTCAAAAACACCAATAAAGCATACATACAATGAGAAGCAAAGAGAAAACTAAAAATGGGGTTAATGAAAAAAAACTTAAGTGAGCTGTGGAACAATGTCATGCAGCCTAGTGTATGGGTAATGAGAGTTCCTGAAAGAAAAGAGAAAAAGCAAAGCCCAGTAAAAATATTTGAAGAAATAAAAGCCAAAATTTTCTAAAGCCCTTTGAAAACTATTAACTCACAGATCTAAAACACTCTAAAAAGCTCCAAACACAAGAAACAGGAATAAAATTACACAAACATCATAATTAAGTTGTACATAGTGGTGATAAAAAGAATTATCCTAAAAACAATCAGACAAAAAGGACATATTATATACAGAAAAACAAAGGTGAGAATATCACACTTCTAATTTGAAATAGTGAAACAACATCTTTAAAATACTGAAATAAAATAACTGTCAACCTAGAATTCTATACTTAGAAAAAAATCTTTAAAAAAAAAAAAGCAACAGCGCCTGAGTGGCTCAGTCAGTTAAGTGTCCAACTCTTGATTTTAGCTCAGGTCACGATCTCATGGTGGTGAGATCAAGCCCCACAGCAGGCTCCTTGCTGAGCATGAAACCTCCTTGAGATTCTCTCCCTCCCTCTTCCTCTGCCCCTTTCCCCATTTGCATGCTGTCTCCCCCCGTTCGTCTCAATAAATAAAAAATAAATAAAAATACAAAGCAAAATTTTCAACATAAGAAGTTGAAAGTATTCAACATCAGCAGACTCACACTACAAGAAATATTGAAGGAAATATTTCAGGCAGATAACCTATGATAGCATATAGAAACATAGATCTGCAAAAAAAATTAATAGTACCAGAAATGATAATGACAGCAGAAAATATACAATATTTCTTGTTACTATTTCAAACTCCTTAAAAGATAAACTTTTTAAACAAAAAAGAATAATAGTATTGTGTGGTTTATAAAGTAAAATATGACACCATAACATGCAGTCCAAAAGAGTAGAAATGGTAATACGCTATTGAAAGTTTCTTGTACTATACTATACCCAAAATGATATAATATTAGTTAAGACTGACAATGGTAATTTAAAGATGTATACTTCAAATCCTGAAGTGAGTAATAAAATGACAAAACAAAGAGCCAACAAAGCTATAAAACAGTCGACAAAATTAACAAGCCAATGAAGGGGATACCTGAATCCTAAAAAGTGCTTGACTAATTCAAAGACTAAGAAATTAAAAAAAAAAAAAAAAGTCAGATGGTACAACCAGAAAATAAGCAAGATGATATATTCAGACAAACCATATCAAAAATTACATTAAATGTAAATTATCTAAACACCCCAATTAAAAGGCAGAAATTGTCATACTGGCTAAGAAAGCAAGGTACAATGATATGCCTATAAGGAAAATATTTTAAATATGTAAACACAAATTAGTCTAAAGTAAACGAAGAGAAAAGCATAAACCATGTGAATACTACCTAATAGAAAATTGAAATGGCTTTATTAAAATTAGACAAAATGGATTTCGGAGCAAAGAATGTTACCAGGGATAAAGAAAGTCATTTCATGATTATAAAGTGGACAAGTAATCAATAGGACATAATAATCCTAAATGTTTATGCATTTGAAAGCAGAACCCAATAAAATACATACAGCAAAAACAAAAATACATGAAACTGCAAAAGGAAACAGACTAATCCAAGTAGAGTTGTATATTTCAATATCCTCTTAATAACTGATCAAATAAATAGGCAAAAGATCTAAAAGGATATACTAGACTTTAACAACTCTATTAACCAACTTGACCTAAAGGACATTTAAAAACACTCCATCAAAAAATAAAAGTACATACAGACATTGGCCAAAATAAATCATATTCTGGCCATAAAATAAGTATCAGTACAATTAACAGGATTAAAGGCATTCAAAGTATGTCTAGGACTACAACAGAATTAAATGAAAAGTAATTACCATAAAAATCTCTAGAAACTCCTTAACATGTGGAAAATAAAGAACATACTTCTAAAGTATTCATGGATCTAAAAAGCAAAGGACAACTTGGGAGTATTTTTAACAGAATAAAAGTGAAAAGACAACATATCAAAATAATGGGGATGTCAACAAAGAAATACTTAAGGGAAACTGACAGCACACAATACCTATATCAGAAAAGAAGAGACATCTTAAAGCTAAGACCTCAGCTGCTACCTAAGTAACCAGAAAAAGAAAAATTTAAACCCAAAGTCAGCAGAAATAAAGAAATAATAAAGACCAAAGATGAAATTACCAATAGAAATAACCAATGAAACAAAAAAACTTGTTCTTTGAGAAGATCATTAAAATTGATAAATTTCTAGCTAAACTAAGCAGGAAAAAAAGAAAGAAGACACAAGTTACCAGTATCAGAAATGAAAGAGGTAGCATCACTCATATTCTACAGTTATTAAAGAATAATAATGGAATAATGTGAACAGATTTATGTCAATAAACTTGACAATTTATAAGGATCTGGAGAAATTCTTTGAAAAACACCAAATCTCATTTTTAAAAAAGTAAATAACTTGAATAACCCTATATCTACCAAAGAAATTGACACTGCACTTTAAAAAACTCTCCCCCAAAATAAAACAGCATGCCCAGATGTCTTCACTGGTAAAATCTACAAAATATTAAAGGATAAGAGTACCAATCCGACAGAAACTTTCCTAAAACACTGAAGAGGAGGAAATACTTCCTAACTCATTTTATCAAAACTTCACTACTGTGATGTCAAAAATCAAAGAAACATATTAAAAGAAAACTACAGTCACTAACACTCATGAACATAGAAGCGAAAGTTGTAAACAAAACTTTATCAAATCAAACCCATTATTCCATAAAAGGGATAATCCATCATAAGGAAATGGGATTTGTCCCAGGAAAATAGTTGGTTCAGCATTTCAAAATCAACCAATGTAGTTCACCACATTAAGAAGCAAAGAAAAAATATGATTAATCTCAACAGATGGAGAAACAGCATTTGACAACTTCCACCATCTATTCCTGATGTGAAAGCAAACAAACAAACAAACAAACAAAAAACTCTCAGCAAATTAGGAATAGATAGGCATCTATGAAAAGCTGACAGCTAATATAATACTTGATAGTGAAGGACCAATTGCTTCCTCCCTAAGATCAAGAACAAATCAGGGATATGTGCATTCACTACTTCTATTAAGAACCGTACTGGAGTTTCTAGCCAATGCAACTAGTCAAGGAAAAGAAAAATAATCAAGTAAACCAAGAGGAAAGATTTGGGGGGTGGGGGGGGACACAAAATGATTAATTATGGGCAAAACAAAGCAATGAGGAACAGCAAACAAGGAGAAACTGGAGAAATGAAATGACACAGAGGAACAAATCCCCATAATTATGTGTAAGTAAGTAATGTATGTAAAAACATCAGCTCCCTATTTTAAAACTACCTAAGTAAAGAAATGAGTTGTAAAATACTAGTAAGGATATAAATGCAAATTCTAAAGAACTTACCAAGAAAAACATTTTAATATACTGTTTTTGCTTATTTCAACCAAGCATTCTTTGGGTAGTATTAAAATATTGCCTTAAGTGGATGGATAAACTAGAAAAATCTAGGACAAGTCTAAAACAGCTCCTTAATATTTCTTCTTTAAATTTCATAGTCTAATGTTTATTTCATTAAAGTCAAAACAAAAATAAAGGGTAATGTAGCTTCAAAAGCTATAAAATTATAAAATACAGACTCTCAAAGCTGAAAAGGACCTCTTTCAAAAGGAAACGAAACAGGGATCAAAGGAAGAGTAGGTCTACAAAGTTTATAAAATTCTGTGTCATAATGGAAAAAGCAGTGTCACTGCTCTAACATTAATCAACTGTGTGACAGGAAGAATGACCTTTAGTCTCCCTGGATCTGAGTTTTCTGAACCTGTAAAATAAAGGAGTTAGACCAACTGATCTCTAAATTTTCGGCATCATCTTTGAAAGTCAAGATCTTACAATTCTAAACAAAATCATTAGCTAAAGGACATAAAGAATGAGGCAAGTATCTTTTTAACTGAAAGGAAAGTTTGAAAATTTCTTGTATCTGAAATGAAGACACTAGAGGTTTTTATATTCACTGGTGGACCTGAATATTAATTTAAATTGCCTGTTTCATTGTATTCACAATAAGCTTAATGATATAAGCTTAATTACAACAGAACTATGTGTGGCTTTCATTCTGTACCTTGTTTGAACGTAATGACACTCGGCCTCCACAACGAGCACAGAACTTTGTTTGGCAATAGGAACAGTTATGGCCACATCCATCGGCAAATTTTGTTTTGTGGCAGATCCCACAGGTGGGGGCGTCACCCTTCTGTTCTTGCTGCTGTTGTGATTCTTCTCCCATCTTCTTCACCTGCTCCTTGTACATCTCAAACTGCTGATGAAGTTTCCTGCAGAGAAAACATAAGAAAAATTTGGTTTCCTGACGGGCTCAAAAAAATAATAGTACTACAATCAGTATACAATTTTATATCCAAGAAACGCCTAAAATGAGACTCAAGAATAAAAATTTAATTTTCTGATTATAGAATAACATCTTACACGACACATCACAAGAGTGTTGCAACTAGTTCTGCTCTCTGATGTACATGTTAATTTAAGAGCCAACTGGTACATGTTAATAGAGACATCTCATTAACTCCAAAATGTCTATCTGCCATTTGCAATACATTTCAACCATATGCTCTAAAATATTTAAGATAGTATGTTTCAACAGTTTAGCTTCAGAAATAGACTGAGCTAATTTGACTTACGCAGCAGAGGCAAAACCTATGAACTTCAAATCACTGAACTTCAAATCATCTCAATTGGAGTGATCTGAAGAATCCAAACAGAGGGGAAAACACTGGATGAGTGCTCTCACTAAATGTTTAAATCTGTTCCACAGTCTGGATATTAGCTGGCTATAAAGACACTGAAATATTAGGAGTCTAGCAAAGAAAAGTAAGGCCAATTTTTATCTTAAAAACAAAATAAGAAAAAAGATACTTAGAAAAAGGTATTATTTACTCATTAAAAACAGTGATAAAACTTTTCACTTCCATTATTGTAAGAGAAATAAAAATGCTTTAAAACTATAATTAACTCTGCTTAAAACTTACAAAGCTGTAAATAATGTCACTCCCATCCTAAAAATAACAAAAGGCTAAATAATCTACAAAATCATGACTTTTCTTGAGCCCGTCAGGGAATTGAGGGTATAAGGCAAACAAACAATCGGAACTCCGGACCGCAGCAAGTCCCTCCAAAGAGAAATGAAGCGCGCTGCTCCACCCTCGGCAGACGAGAGGAGAAGGAGAGAGAGGGGCCACCACACAGGCAGGTAAGAGGAAATTGTTAAAAATTTAACAAATTGTTAAAGGCTAAGTGTGGGCCAACATGACAGTTTGGAATATCTAGCGGCCCAGACTCCAGGGAAGCTCACACTCACTCACAAGCGCTTTTCTGCAGGCTTCTACTGGTTACTTACGAGGAGGACTGGGAGCAGGGCATAAGAACAAAGAACCTTTCGGGGTACACCTGTGCAGGTGTAAAGGAGGTACCTAGTGGCTACTGGGGTACAGGCGTACTTCCCCAGACTCTCTCTCCTAAAAAAGCCACAGCTGTGAGCCACAGGGAGCAGGAAACTGTAATCCCAGGGCAAAGGCAGAGAGCCCCTGCAGCTAAAGAAAAGGTTAAAGGGAAAAAACCTCTACCCGTGAAAGAGGGACAGGACGCCATCTTCAGCCAACAACCTATTCTCAAATCAAAGGCCTTTCATAATTAGGGGAGGGGTGGAAATTCCGGTCCCAAACCTATCAGAGATACAAAGCAGATTTACTTCCATGGGAACAAGGACCTAAGAACTTTGAGTAAGCCTCATCCATAAGACCCAACGGGAAAGGTCCCGTCAAACACGAAGGGTAGGAAAACAGAACAGAACACACTTGCCCCCGCCACAAACCGAAAATCAAGAAATAAGCATCGATGGTTACTACTGGGGAAGAAGCGAGAGCATAAGGAGAGATGCGCGCCAGCCTCCCCACAGAATAAGTAGATGGAAATGACTGAAGGGGTAGCAAAACACCGAAACAAACTTCTGGCACTCCTGCATCCATTCTAAACAGGATGCAGCAGTAGCCTGCTGTAAGAGCAATTAGAAGACTGCGATGCACTAAAGATAATGATGGCAACAGCGGGGGCGCCTGGGTGGCTCAGTCGGTTGGGCGTCCGACTTTGGCTCAAGTCATGATCTATCCGAACCTCTGACTTGATGGTGATTTAATTCCCAACACTAACAATCTGACAGAAGAGGCATGCCCTTTTTTGGGGCGCCTGGGTGGCTCAGTCAGTTAAGCGTCCGACTTAGGCTCAAGTCATGGTCTCACAGTTAGTGGGTTCTAGCCCCACATCGGGCTCTGTGCTGACAGCTAGCTCAGAGCCTGGAGCCTGTCTTCAGATTCTGTGTCTCCCCCTCTCTCTGACCCTCCCCTGCTCATGCTGTGTCTGTCTCTGTCTCTCTCTCTCTCTCTCTCTCAGAAATAAATAAAAAACATTAAAATTTTTTTAAAAAAATAAATTGTATTTAAGGCAAAATACAATTCAAAACCATGAGACTCAGGAAAAAATAGCAAGGAATAAACAACTCATTATCAAGAGATAAAATAATTAATATAATTAGATTCAGAGATGACAAGAATGATGGGATTATCAGACAGACTTTTAAAATGATTATATTTATTAAGGTAAAAGATCCACAGGAAAAGGTGGACAATAGGCAGGAACAGATGGGGTACTGAGGCAGAAAGATGGAACGTGTAAGAGTCATATGAAAATGCTGGAAAGAGGAGTGCCTGGGTGCCTCAATCAGTTAAGTGTCCAATTCTTGACTTCAGCTCAGGCCACAATCTCACGGTTCATGGGTTCAAGCCCTGTGCAAGGCTCAATGCTGACAGCACAGAACTTGACTGGGATTCTCCCTCTCCCTCTCTGCTCCTCCCCCACGCTCACACACACTCGCTCTCTCTCTCTCTCTCTCTCTCTCACTTGCTTGCTCAAAATAAATAAACATTTCAAAAAGAAAGAAAATGCTAGAAATAGAAAACATGGCATTACAGATGAACTATTTCTTTGATGGGCTCATTAATAGACTTGAAAGAACTAAGGAAAAAATCAGTAAACTTGAAATAAGTCAATTAAAAAAATATCGGGGTACCTGGGTGGCTCAGTTGGTTAGGGATCTGACTCTTGATTTCAGCTCAGGTCATGATCTCACAGTTCATGAGTTCAAACCCTTCATTGGGCTCTGCACTGACAGCATGGAGCCTGCTTAGGACTCTCTCTCTCTCTCTCTCTCTCTCTCTCTCTCTCAAAACAAATAAACTTTAAAAAAATTTTTAAATATCCAAACAAACAAAAGAGTTAGCTGGGGCACCTGGGTGGCTCAGTCAGTTGAGCGTCAGACTTTGGCCCAGGTCATGATCTCACAGTTTGTGAGTTCGAGCCCCGTGTCGGGCTCTGTGCTGACAGCTTGGAGCCTGGAGCCTGCCTGGGATCCTGTGTCTCCTTCTCTCTGTCCCTCCCCAGCTCACACTCATTCTCATTCTCTCTCTCTCTCTCTCTGTCAAAAATAAACTTTTAAAAAAATTTTTAAATACACACACACACACACACACACACACATAGCATCTAAGAGCTAAATTGATCTAACATGTGAAATTAGAGTCTAAGAAGAAAAAGTAGAAAACAGAACAGAGGAAATATTTGAAGGGATAATGGCCAGAATTTTCCAAAATTAATGAAAGCCACCAAATCACAGACACATGAACTTCAAAGAATCGTTTGTAGAACAACACAATATACACACTCACCTAGCCACAACATGGTCAAACTGCTATAAACCAAAACAAAAAACAAAAAACAAAAAACACTATAAAAGCAGCCAGAGGAAATGACACATCGTATGTAGAGAGCCAATGACAAAAACTACAGAGGATTACCTTCCAGAAACCAGGATTGCCTTCTACCTTCCAGAAGCTAGAACACTTTGTAGTAACATCTATATAAGGTACTGCAGAAAAAAATCCTGTCAACCCAAGATCCCATATGCAGTGAAATTATGCTTCAAAAAAATAAAGGGAAAATAAAGACTTTTCAGGCAAAGAAATGTTGAAAGAATTTATTGTCAGAAGACAGTAACCACAGGAATTCAAAGCAAGTTCTTTAGGGAGAAAGAGTATGATTGATATTCCTTGAAAGGGTCATCTAGAAACCTGGAACACATCAAAATAAGTGCTTATATTAATATCATATTTCCAAAAAAAAAAAAGAAAATTAAACTCAGAGAAAGTATAAAAAAAGTATTTTTTTTTAATTATAAAAGAAATCAATGAAACCAAATGATGCTTCTTAAAAAAAAAAATCAATATGGGGCACCTGGGTGGCTCAGTCAGTTAAGCGTCCACTCGGTTTTGGCTCTGGTCATGATCTCACAGTTTGTGAGTTGGAGTCCTGCATCAGGCTCTGCACTGATAGAGCAGAGCCTGCTTGGGATTCTCTCTCTCTGTCTCTCTCTCTGCCCCTCCCCTGCTTGCTCTCTATCTCTCTTTCAAAATAAATAAAAATAAACTTTAAAAAATCTATAAAATTAATAAACTTCGAGCCAGAAAGATCAAGAGGGAAAAAAAGATAAAAATTACCTAGAGCAAGAATGATAGAGGGAACATCATTACAGACTCCACTGTTAAGTGTAAATTAAATGTAAAAGATTACAAGAGAAAACTACAAACAATTCTAGGCCCATAAATTTTACAACTTAAATGAGAAATAGACTATTTCCTTAAAAGACTGAACACATCACACCTCACTCAAGAGGGAACAGGTAGCTTAGAAGTCCTATATGTATTAAAGAAATTTAATTCCTAGTTTAAAACCTTTAATTTTTTTTTAATATTTTTATTTATTTCTAGGAGAGAGAGAGAGAGACAGCATGAGCAGGGGAGGGTCAGAGAGAGGGAGACACAGACTCTGAAATAGGCTCCAGGCTCTGAGCTGGCAGTCAGCACAAAGCCCGACGCGGGGCTCGAACCCATGAACCGTGAGATCATGACCTAAGCAAAAGTCGGACGCTTAAGCGACTAAGCCACCCAGGCGCCCCCCTAGTTTAAAACCTTTAAAAATAAAACTGCAGTGCACACTGGCTTTAACGGTGAATTCCACCAAATATATAAGGAAGAAATAACACCAATTCTACATAATCAAAAATAAGAGAACACTTGCGGGGCACCTGGGTGGCTCAGTTGGTTAAGCATCTGACTTCAGCTCAGGTCATGCTCTCGTGGTTTATGGGTTCGAACCCCACATTGGGCTCTGTGCTGACAGAGCCTGGAGCCTGTTTCAGATTCTGTGTCTC